TTGTACTTTAAACATTTTAGAAAACACATCAAGGGCCAAAAGGGAGTCTAGTAAACATACAATATCGCCAAAAGCAAGTGGGGAGATAGCATTTCGTGTATGAACCACTGAAAGTTTTCTCTCATTTCTCTTCACTGCAACAAATATTCAGTGGAATATAAACTAAACTTCGAAATTAGCTTTAGAAAGAGCAATTCAGAAAATCAGTAGCTTGAATCAGTGCAGCCTGTACTTCAGAGAAAATGGAAAGGAAACTTACAGACAAGCCAAACCCAACCAGACCCCAATAGTTGTAAGGATGAGCGGATGAACTCTTCCCTAAAATTAGTAAATGAGCCAAAATCCTTTTCAATCTGCTGCAGTACACCTCCCTCAGGTAAGCCACCACCATCTGGTTGCATTGATTCCCAGAAGAAGTGATGGTTCCAGACCTGCATGTCAGAAGACAGAAGCTTGGAACTCCAAAAACCATCCTACTATTGGCGAAAGCACAAATTGCGGTTTTTCTTTTTGAAAGAAAACAAATGACAGGCAGAAGATGATCAGTGCAAGCAAAATATAATGAACGGGGTATCATCAATGAGTTACCTGTGCTGCATTGTTATACTCTGGTAATGGATTGCCATTGTTGTAAGCTTCTTTTATCAGATCCTCCGGAGTGTATCCATACAGAGGGCTGGTAGCCAGCTGCTTATTCAAGCCATCCACGTAATCTTGATGGTGCTTACCCCAGTGAAGTTCAACTGTCCTCTTGCTCATATAAGGTTCCAGAGCATCCTGAACATTGTACCACAAAACAATGGTAAACAAAGCAAAAATTTGGACATTCCTTTAATGTCAGCACGCAAAGCTTTTGAGATTGGCGTCAACAAGCTTACAGACCAGTTTATATGGCGGAGTTGTGAGACCGTAATAGGACACGACTTTCGAAAATCTTCGAGATAGTCCACCCTGCCTCTGTATTCTCTGCAATAAACATCAGGCACAAACAGCACACAATCTCAAAACATATGTCTGCACAGCAATTTCATTGATTCTCACATGCTTTAAAATTCGTGAAGGATCCAGCAGAAGCTCAAACAAACTGGGCCTCACTAAACCAGCAATCAAATGATTTCAATTCAAGGCCAAGTATGCTCATTGAATAATGAAAATTGTAATTTAGCCTCTTAAAAAGGTAAAGTCATCTGTGCAATTTAGTCTCTTAATAAGAAGGTAAGGTCATCTAACTGCGCAATCAAAATGCCGTTGGTTTCCAAGTGACATAAGTGAGAGACTGAGAGTTCATAAACATGTGAAACACACATCGACACACGCGAATCCTCTTATGCTAGAGCATTATAATGGCTAGGCAGCCCGGCAAGCCTACGGAACACTACAGTTAACGGAAAAGACTTCCCGGACCGCTCCATACTTTCCACTCTGCCAAGTCGCGGCGCAGCGCCATGGCGGGCAGCGTACTGGGTCCTGGGTGTGGGGCACATGGGGCAGCAAAGCAACCCCGGTAGGCGTGGCTCCACCTCTCGCACAATCGAAAACGAACAGGAATGCAGCGAGAAGGGAGTAGATGAAGAAGGGTGCAGTAGAGGGTCCCACGGGGCTCACCGAGCGCAGCTGTCGCTGCTGAAGCTTCACACCCGCCGGCGGCGAGGGGAGGAGGCGGAGGTGGAGAACTGAAGCCGCCATTTTTTCCTGCGCCGCGGTATCCAAATCCACCCCGCGGAAGCCGAAGCCGGAATTTCACCGCAAGTTTGCAGATCAGCCCAAAACATTTTCTAAAAAACCCCTGTTGGACCGCGACTACTAATCTCGATCCTGTGTTTTTCCAAAAATACACCTAACTTTGATCGGAACTATTAATTACGACCAATATATTTTCTAAAAAGACCCCCTAATTCGGATATCGAGCATTAAGGCCCTCCATGTTGGCTTAGAGTGGTGCTTCAAATCAATACAGTGCAACTACGATGTCCAATCTTCCTCGTGCTCACCGGTACTCGCGGGTTTCATACCGTGTGGGTACGGGTATAAAAACTCACCCGTGGTTACACGAGGATCAGGTACACGCAAATATGAGGGTAGGGTGCAGGCATTAAATTTTACCCGTGGGTACCCACAATTTGAGAATATATATGAATATATCTCACCAATGTCATATGCATATCATGTTGACTAGTTCATTTAACATGTAATTTGTAGCGTACGTATAACATGTCGAACTATGAAGATGTTATTTTTTTATAGATGGTTGAATAAAGTGATTATGTGAGCTATTAACTTGTCACTTTAGTTCTTGTGTAAGTTGTTTTGTGTTATTTGTATGAGCGTGAGTGATCGAATTATGAATCTACGATGCACTGTGACATGTGAGCTACTACGTATTGTCCTAGTAAACTCGGTAAGTAAGATTGCCATATTTATGTGTGGTTTAACTATGAATTTATTATTTCTCTTGAATATACCTGGCGGGTACCCGTCGGGTACGGGCATGGATACGAAATCTTACTCACAGAATGCTCGCAGCAGGTAAAAGTTAAGATCATAGGTATGCTCAGTGCGGATAAATACCCTGTTCTGATAAGTCATGGCTGAAAGTACTATTGACTGATTTGTTGTGAGAGAAAAATATTGTTCATTAGCTAAAAAATACGGCTTATAAGTCAGGCGAACCGGACAAAATGCTTTACCCCCACCTCAACTGACCCGCTGCCATCCCTAGCAGCGATGTATGTGCACTTGTGTAGGCTCCGATGTCTGGTGACTAAATAAATCAGAAAAATATGGCATGCTCTTCATTTCCTGCTCTCTCAAGCCATTCATTCATTGCGTTTATTGTTTATCCATTTCACTATATTGTGGAACCTAGCAGGCGATGCCTATCCCTGCAGCCCAAAAGGGGTGATGCCCATAAGCCCATTCTCTTCACTGGATCACCTTTTTGTTTCAGGCACCACTAGCTATAAATGTCCATGCAGTTCACTGGATCACCTTTTTGTTTCAGGCACCACGACGGTCCGACCCAAAGCACGACATTTTAGCCCGACACGAGCACGGCACGGCCGGTGAGCAGTGGGCCTGGGCCGGCCTGGCCCAATACACGGGGTCGTGCTTGGGCCGCTGCTCAAGCACGGCGGGCGGCACGGCACGTCCCGGTCCACAAGGGTCGGCCCGGTGGCGGTACGGCCTGCTAACATCCCAGTATCCCACCACCAGGCTAACGATTGCCGCTAACCCTAACTCCCCCTCCCCTCTCACTATCTCTCTCATGTGGCAGAACCTTCTAAGAAATCGGGCCCACGTGCACCTATTGATGTCTCAACAGACTTCAGATAGCGTACACAAGTTCCCAACAACTTAACAGGTCTGTCTGGTGTCCTCGGGAAACCCGAATCATCCACGAATCTTTTTCAAACAGGATCCCAATCACAGTCATTGCAGATTACAACAGTTTTCAATATACATACCAGAGATTATAAAACGGAAGACTTAAGTTTTAATATTACAAACCAGTTGTTTTAAACTTACAAAACCATAATTGTCATACAACCATAGTAGCGGGATAATATTACATTAACATTATTTATTTCACATAAACTAGTGCCTTGTCCAAAGGCCATTCATCATTCCTCATCGTCATCGACTTCAAACACTGACATGCAGCAGGGACAAAAACAAGCCTGCGCATGCGACTCACCTGCAACAAGGGTTAACAAACCCTGAGTACAAAAGTACTCAACAAGACTGACCCGACCAAAAAGGGTGAAGGTCTTAGGGATGCAGGTGTTGGGTCAAGATAAGGATGTAGAAAGATTCAAAAGTTCTTTGCCAAAAGCTTACTATTCTTGATCCTAGTTTCAAGTTTTACCCCTAAGTACTTTAGTTCATTATCTCTAACCAAGTGTTCATATCCCATGTTCCAATCCTTCTTATTTCATTCTTTTTCTCATGTTTTAGTAATTCACCAGTCCTGCACTGCTTCTGTAATAAATCGAGTCTCCATATCCACGGAGCACCGGCAATTCGAATTGATTCAAGTCCCAGCTGGGGATTCCTTATCACACGACATATGTAGAACTTAATCTTGCATATATCAACCTCACTACCGGATCCTCCTATACTAAGCCGTCTCCACGCCACCCGAGAGCACAGCACACCTCAAATCCGGCCACATTCAAGCCACGAGGGTACACGCTACTCCCGCCATCTCACCACTCCCAGTGCGTGGGCATTCGTCTTAGTATCGGATTAGCCAAAGTAGGCTTACCGGAGTATGTGACCAGTACTACAAAGTGTCTCGTTCAGAAGATCCACAATGAGTTGCCTTTAAGCGACATAGTCGGCAACATTACCCAACATTCAAGATAAGCCACCCAACTAGTCTCTAGTTCATTCTATCTTCTTTCTTTCTTTCTTTGGCCAGTATGCCATCTTTGATTGTATCGAAACTTTTACTTTGAAAACCTACCATAAAGCATACTAAGCAATTCTACGCCTTTGTAAATGAAATCGTCTTCAAGGATGGTAAACAATCAACAAGGTAGGCAATGCATCAAGTAGGTAACATTTGAATAAATCAACTTAATGCAATAGGTAACATATGTGATAAACTTGTCAAAGTAAACAAGGTAATGGTTTAATACATAAACCGGGGCTTGCCTTCGTTGACGATCTCAGGTTCCGGATCAGTACCACAATTATCGAATCCCGTGACAACTGGGGATTCTTCCAGAACTTGCTCAACTAGAATCGGTTCACTCGGATTCTACACGAAATAATAGCATATGCTTCAACATGATGATACTGTAAACATGATGCTTTCATGGTGCATGAAATATAACAACACCTTGAATACAACTTTCCTTCACGGTACAGTTACAAGCCAAACTAACCAAACCATATTCGTAACGGATGTGACCATGTCAGCACCGACCACTTCGGCGAGCTCTCCGACTACTTCGGCGAGCTCTCCAACCACTTCGGCGAACTCTCCGACCACTACGGTGAACTCTCCGACCACTACGGCGAACTCTCCGACCACTACGGCGAATTCTTCGACCACTGATCTTGAAACCCTACTGGTCACAAAACATGATCAAAACAAGATCAAACACTAATCAAACACTTAGGGTTTGCTTTTATTTATTTTTGAATTAATTTGGAAATAAGTCCAAAAATGATCTTGTTCCAAATGACCTCAAAATTTTATGTAAGCTTCCTCATGACAAATTAGTCTACCAAAACAAATATCATAATTTTTGGAATTATACAGTGGCCTACAAAAATCATGGAAATTGCATTTATTAATTAATGGACTGAATATTTGAACATTAAAAATTTATTCAAATTTCATGTTTCAAATTTTTAAACCATACTAAAGCATGTACAGAAGCTACACACAAAATTTCAGAATTTTTGGAGCTATGATTAATTTCCTACAAATTCCCAAAATTTCAGCACTATTCAAAATCAGAAAATAATAAAACTTCACTGTTCTTCTCCTTCCTTCTCACTGACAGCCCGACCCCACTCGTCAGTGACACATACAGGTCACGACGGCGCTGCCATCACTGACCGGCCCAAAATGCGCCGACGGTGATGCTCCGGCGAGGCAGACCGCACCCAAATGATCTACACACTCCTACGAACCCATTCCCGCCCTTTGAATGGCAGAAGGCGCACCGGAGAAGACTCCACGCCGGCCATGGCGGCTTGAGCACGCCGGCCATGGCGGCTTGAGCACGACGGCTCACGGCGTAACCCCGGCAATGGCGTAGTAGAGTCTAAAACAAAGTGAGTATCGCGTTCAGTAGCTCACCACGGTCACGCCGGTACGTTTGGTGAAGACGAAGACGGTCTGGAATGGCCTGGCCACGTCGAGTCGATGGTGGAGGAGCTCCGGCCGGTCTCGGGGAAGAAGACGTTGCGCCGGGCGATTCCGGCCAACCCAAGCGACGTGAGCAAGCCACAGAGAGCGTAAGACCGAGGCGATCTCGTTGGCGTAGCTGGGCACGACGGACGCGGCTTGACGATGGCTACGGCGAGCGGCGGAGCTAGCTGGCGGCGGAGCAGAGCAGAAGGGGAAAACGGGGACGACGGCGGCGGCTGCTGCTATTTATAGCCGGGAAGGGGTTGCCCGGCGTCGACAGTGCACGAACGGACCCGCCACGGCACCAGCTGCGTGTCAATGCGCGAGGAAGCGGCGCAATATGATCGGCGGCGACATTCGCGTGGCGCCGGCGGCAAGTAGAGAGGTGGCGCTCGGCTATTTTTTTTCAATTTTGATGTATTTACAAAATTGCCACTACATTAATTTTGCAAATTACTCACAAATTTTCTAAAGAAGTTGAAAATCTCCAAAAATGAAAGTTGCTCAATTTTTCAAACTCTACAACTTTGCTTCAAGGAACATTTTCAAATTCTGCCTCCATTTTGAAATTTGAATTTAGG